TTTTACATGCCATAAGGCCAAAATTGGCCTTTTATGTGTAAAATAGCCAGCGTGCCTATGACTAAGACCATGTGAACTGGCACCAAGGACACTGAGCTACATTTCCAAAATGCAGCATTTCCGAGCCTCATGTATTGTTAACCTGTGCATTTACGCTGTCTGTTAAGGGATGGACTCATTCTCTTTCTGGATTTCATCATTTATTTAATTTTCATTTTCCAGAATGAAATGCTTACAATTATCTAATGAGGTCTGGAAAACTCAAGGTGGGGGGTGGTGGAAAGGAGTAAGTGCCCTACTCTCCCTTCCTCATTCTGTGAGCAGTCCCCTCCCCTTTTTCTTCCCTCCCAGCTTTCTAAAAGAGAAACAAATCAGAGTAGCCAGGAAAAAAAGAGCATTTCTCTTTAATATCCAGTAAGTTTTTGCTTAGAAAGCACAACATTTATATAAAAAAACTAAAGGTCAGAAATAAAGAAAATTTTTTTTTTTTTTTTTATGCTCACACTACAGCATTTTATTAGCAGGCTTTACAACTTAAATAATACCTTGGATGCCAGAAAAACAGCTTTCACTAAATCCAAATTAAGCTTTCAAGAGCTTACTTGTTGGAGGGACACATGTATGCTCAACACAAAATATGCCTCTATTTAACTTACAGCAAATCTTAGAGTTAACTAAAAATGGGCTGGGGTCAAATGTCAACGACCTCAAAATTCTAGTTAAATTACTTTTCTTTAAAATGTGTGCAGTACAGTTGAATGAAAAGAGAAAATCGCAACTAATTTGCAGTGTGGTTGAAGCAGGTGACATTTCATGATCATTCAATCTCTTCAAATACTGTTTCTGATACTTGGCATAAATCTCAGCAAAATCAATCCATTCACTAACATTTTGAAGGGAAAGCTGGTGTTTTAAATGAAAGTACAACATTGGTCTTTCTTTGCTAGGGGGCGGACTTGGCAACTTTTGTGGGAATGATTATTAAAATACTCCTTTGCAGATAATTTTTCCCTTCATTAAAATATCAACTTATCAGTTGCACATTGCTCCTTTACATAAATAACTGGATTCTTTAAAATCGGAGATTAGCTATTTCATTGCATTTGGAAATGTTGCAGAAATTCTGACCCATCATTCTTTTATCTCCGTGAGGACGCCGACAGCTATTGTGGAACCACTGTAGCGTAACATAAACCTGCCCAGCTCCTTAAAGTCCTTGGACAGCTCAAGGGCTATTGGTTTTGTGCCTGTATTTCAACACACACACACACACACACACACACACACACACACACACACACACAAATGGTTAAATTTTAGATGGAGACAAGCAATGTTGCGGACCAACAAAAACTCTCATAATTGTTGGTGGGAAAATGATAAAGCACAGACCCTTTGGGGGAAAGTAAATAAACTCTTTGATCAAGTAATTCTACCACCAAATATTTATCGAGGAGAAATAAAACTGCAAGCCTACAAAAATGCTTGCAGAAAAACAGTAACTTAATTAATATTAGCTTCAAACTGGAAATAGTGCAGGTAACCAACGATAGAAAAATGAATAAACAAAGTGATATTTACTTTAACAGAGCCAAGGTATAAACCTAAAAGAGCTCCAAGTAATTTTATAGATATTATCCTACATATCCTTGAGGAATTTCTAAAGAGTTAAGTAGTAATATTCCCATAGACAGAGAAAACAGAACAGAGAAATCGAGGAACTTCAAGTCTCCTGATTCTAAGCGCACCCTGAACGGTGGCTTGGGAACCCATTACAGCAGTGTGCTAATCGCTTTCTCCCCGAGTTCTGCTCTACTCTTCATTCTGCATTGCACACAGAGCTGGTCAAAGTGACAAAGCCCTAACGTCTTCACGACTTCGTCTTCTAATTCTCATAACTGAAGCTCAATCAGTACATGGTTCTATACATTTTTTTTTCTGCCAAGACACATAGGATACATGTTAATGTTCCCTGAATGTAACCAAAGTTATGCGTGATTTCTGCCAACTACTTGTAATTTTACTGCTTTTCTTTTTCTCTAAAAACCATGCTGGAAGGCAAGCAAAAGCGCTATCATATGAATAACCTTGAACGTCTTCCAATTTACACTTGGCAAAAAGCAAATCATTATTTTACCAAAAGTTGATATTTCAAGTAAAATGAGAAACAAATTATTTTGTAACAAACAGACTAAGAGCCTCTGCACTGGGCTGGGTTTCCTGGGGCCATAGCATGCATGGCTACCCCAGGCTCATCATCCCACTGCAAAGCAAGGAATGGCACAACTTCTGTGGCTCACACCTGCCCTCTTCACTTTGTTTTGAAGACAAATTTCAATGCTGATCATTGGCAAATTTTCTTTCTTTCTTTTTTTTTTAAGATTTATTTATTTATTGGAAAGGCAGATGTTCAGAGGAGGAGAGATAGAAGGATCTTTGATCCACTGATTCACTCCCCAAGTGGCCACATGGCTGGGGCTGAGCCCATCCAAAGCCAGGAGCCAGGGGCCTCTGGGTTTCCCACTTGGGTGTAGGATCCCAAGGCTCTGGGCTATCCTTGATACTTTTCCAGGTCACAAGCAAGGAGCTGGATGGGAAGTGGGGCCTCCAGGATTAGAACTGGAGTTCATTTGGGATCCTGGGGCATGCAAGGCTAGGACTTCAGCCACTAGGCTACAGTGCTGGGCCCGGCAAATATTTTTTTTTTCTCTTCTAGCAAATGTTCTTAATGAACACATATATTAAAGAGAACACAGTCCCCAAGTTTTATGGAAGGTCAAGATGACTGGGCTCTAAGAGTTCTGTGTGGATGACAAAGCACCACAACTGTTAGCAATCCAGACAAGTCACATCACCTTCTCCCTTCTTCCTTTCCTTAGTGCCACATCCCAAGGTTGTTACAAGGCCTTTACAGTGCTCTGTTTCATTCTCCAGTAGTTAGGTCTACAAGCTGAACTACAGCTGTCTATTTTCAGAAGGGATTTACAGTGAAGGGATTTAGCCCTTCCATGTCCTTTAGCTTGGCAGGCAGCTGACAGCCTTGGCTCCTGATTTCAGATTCACACTAAGGAGACCCTTGGAGGCAGCAGTGATGGCGCAGGGAATTGGGTCCCTGCTACCCACACAGGAAGCCTAGAATGAGTTCCCCATTTCCAGCTCCAGCTCAGCCTAATCCCAGAAACTGGGTGTTTCGGGGAGTGAACCAGAGAGTGGGTCTATCTTTCTATATGCTTCCCTGCTAGTCTTCCTCTCTAAATTTAAAAAAAAAAAAATTAAATTCTACTCAAAGAAAAATATTCCTAATAGAGACTTGATTGGCTAAGGCTATAACCTCCTTTACAAATTCAATTCTCACTTATGAAAAACAAAATCAGGACATTTGTTAAAGATCATGATTCAAACTGCAAAAACAACATGATTCAGCATATACATACACCCTAATTAACTATGTAAAGATTGTCAGAATATAATAAAAAAAATATACATACAACCATTATGGAACAACTATAGAACACAAATTGATTTCTATATCGCAAACTTCTAAGAAAAAGCAATAAAACAATGCCAACATTCCAGAACAGAACATCAGAAATGTATATTCATAGGTGTTAGTAATCGAAAGGTATTATTTCAGAACCATCTGGATACTCGTATCAGTGCAGGTGGCTTCATACATGGTATCTCATTGAACCTTCACACTGGGCTAAGCACTGTTCCTCTGTACAAAAGAGGTTGTGGCAGTTTATGGAGAAAGGATTGCTTGGAGCCTGCCTTTGAGCAGGTGACCGACCTAGCGACCTGACAATGGATGTAATCCATCCGTGATTACACACCTTAGCTCTATTCCCTACACAACACATATACAGAGCAGAAATTTTTAATGCTACTAAGGTCTTAAACACCTGAGAAAGTCATTCAGTCTCTTGTTGGTTTCTTTGCTCCCTCCTCTTTTGCTGCCAGTGGCATTCAGGTCAGAGGAGAACACAATAGTGAAAGGGAACTTCATAAAAAGTCCGTCTTGAGGCCTGGTACAATGACTCAGTTGGCTAATCCTTCCCTTGCAAACACCAAATTCCATATGGCCAGTGATTCATGTCCTGGCTGCTCTGCTTCCCATCCAGCTCTATGTTTGCACCCTGGGAAAGCAGCGAAGGATGGCCCAAAGCCTTGGAACCCTGCACTAGCGTGGGAGACCCAGAGAAGGCTTTGGCTTTCAGATTGACTCAGATCCAGTCCACAAGCAGGGAGCTAGACGAGAAGTAAAAACTGGGACACGAATCAGTATCCTTATGGGATGCTGGCACTTGCAGGCAGAGGATTAGTCAACTGAACCACTGCATCAACCCCTATTCTGCTTTTCAAATAAACAAATATTTAAACAATAATGCAGTAACTGTAGAAAAGTATTAAACAGAGTAGAAGCCACTGCTTCCCTACCAGTTCTAGTCCTGAAACTCTGTACAGAGGTAACTGCCATTAACATTTTTTTTAATACATAAAAAATTCCCCAATAGGCACAGTGCATTAAGCAGATGCTTGTGACTCTGGCACCAAATATGAGGGTTCTGGTCCAAGTCCCGGCTGTTCTGCCTCACATCTACCTAGCTCCCGCTTATGCATCTGGAAAGATCATGATCCAAGTGCTTGGGTCGCTGCCACCAGTGTGAGAGGCCAGGCTGGCATCCCTGGCTCACAGTTTCAGCCTGACCCAGACCTGGCTATTGGGGCCACTTGGGGAAGGAACCAATGGGTGGAAGATCTCTTTCTGCCTCTCTCCTTTTCATTTGGCCTCGCAAACATTTTTTTTCCTAATAAAAAAATGAAAGTTTCCCTGATAAAATGTGTATATATGTGAAATAATATAAATGCAGACCCCAAAAATCAATCTCTTATCTTAGAATGATTTTTTTCTCCACATGCTTTAACAGTCATGGAATGTTCCGACACATCTGCACGTTTCTGAGACTCTAAGCATGGCATGCCTGTGAGACACAGCGTACCTGTTTTCCAGATCCGGCATGCTTAGGTTTCTGGCAGCAAAGCACATCTTGAGAGGGATGACCTTTCTGTCCTTAGTGCTGTTGTGGTGTTTTGGAGAACTGGAGTCTTCACTGCCACTAAAGCTTGGTGACTGAGGAGCTGCGCCTTCCCAGGGCAGATCTGATACCAGGGACGGCTTCTTGATATATGGTGTGACTTCTCGGATGAACTTGACTGCCAATAAAAATCAAACAAGAAGGTTTGCTTCCCATGAAAAATGACTGCAACAGTCACACACACACACACACACAGTATTTTCAACGCAGTTTTTAAAAATGAAGTTAAAGAGCCATGAATTCCCTCAAGACAGATAGGGATAGGGTCACCTTGCTGATTATTGCAAAAAAAAAAAAATTAAGATTTATTTATTTATTTGAAAGGTAGAGTTAGAGAGAGAGAGAGAGGGACAGAGGGAGACAGGAAGAGACAAGTGGAGGGAAGGGTGGGTAAGTTAGTTTCCATCTCCCAGTTCACTACCCAAAGGCCAGGGCTACGGAAGGCTGAAACTTGGAGTCTAAGACTCCATCCTCATCTCCTACATGGATGCAGGGGTTCAAGCAGCTCTCTGAGTGGCTGAGTCAGGCATTTCAATGCACTTAGCTTTGTGCTTTCAAAAGACAAGATTAAATCACAAAAACTTTGGAGAAAATTCCTAGGGTTTCCAGTTACTGCCAACAGCAAAGACATGCTTTTTGAACATTTAAGGCAGCATACCAACCAGTGGGCTACCAAGCCGGCAAATTAGTCGTTCTAAATGACTACTCTCGAATATTACAGTGGTTACAGAGGAACCCTCAGTGATCTACTCAGATGTTCATTCAATCACACAGTAGCATCACTGAACTGATTACCACACACACACACACACACACACAAGCATGCACGCACACTCTCCCCTCACCCTCGCTCCCCCTGGATCATCTTATCCAAAGAGCAGTGAGCTTCATTGGAGAGGATGTCAATCTTTTTTTAAAAAAAGATATATTTTTTTATTTTCATTACAAAGTCAGATATACAGAGAGGAAGATCTGTCTGATGATTCACTCCCCAAGTGACTGCAATGGCCGGTGCTGTTCCGATCCGAAGCCAGGAGCCAGGAAATCGCTCCAGGTCTCCCATGTGGGTGCAGGGTACCAAGGCTTTGGGCCCTCCTCCACTGCTTTCCCAGGCCACAAGCAGGGAGCTGGATGGGAAGCGGAGCTGCCGGGAATAGAACCGGCACCCATATGGGATCCCGGTGCATTCAAGGCGAGAACTTTAGCTGCCAGGCCATGGCGCTGGGCCCAGGAATGTCAATCTAATTAGCTACCCACAATGGCTGAAGCACCATTGAGCTGACATTTGTTTCTAACTGATCTGATAACCAGGAAAGGTGGAAGGTTTGAGCTCCTGGTTTGAGTTATCCTGTACCACAGAGCCTTCACTAGATTTGCACATCATAGATACACCTGCCTAGATATACATAGCTTTTCCATCCCACATGGCTTTCAGTCCAACTCAGGACCCACAGTATAGTCAGAATTACTTTATTTTTTCCTGACAGTTAAAGATCATCCTAAAAATATTCAACTAAACACTTACATTTGTAAACTGTTTTAGATATTTAGATGCCAAAACTAATTTTCTTTATTCTATGCACTGATTATTGTTATTAAAGTTAAGGGGATTTGCTTCCAACACCAAAACATTACTTTAATCCCTTCTTTTCAGAATAAAAAATACATGTACTGAATAGCCACCTGTACATGTCTAGAAGGACTTTCATTAAGATATCAATACTTATACATAAATTTGGAATCTACTTTTGAGTATTCCTTATTTGACTATTCCATATTTTGAATATTGCATATTTGAAATTTTATGGTTTTACATAATTTACAAAGAAATTAAAGACTTAACTGTGAAACCTTGCTCAAACATTAAATATTGGGGGTATGGGCGCTGGGGTAGAGTAGGCTAAGCTATCAGCTGTGACACCTGAGTGCCATAATGCACCTTGGAGAGAGGAGATGACGGCTCAAGAGCTTGGGCCCTTACTGCCCACATGGGAGTTCCGGGCACCTAGCTTCAGAGTGACCTTGCTCTGGCTGTTGTATACAATTGGAAAGAACAGTAAGCATAATATGGTACCACTGTGTAGTGCACTCTCTCTATATATTGGACTGCTTTTCAAATAGATGAAAATAATAAAAACAAACATTAGAAAATTAAACGCTGAAGGGTTGGTGTTGTGGCATGGTGGGCAAAGCCACTGACTATGACACTGGGATCATGTATAGGTGCTGGTTCACTGCTGATCGTTTCCTAATGTGCCTGGGAAAAGCAATGGAAGATGGTCAAATGCTTGGGCCCCTACCCACACAGCAGACCTGGCTCCTGCCCTTGGCCTAGTTCAGAGCTGGTTTTTGTGGCAATCCAGGGAGTAAAACAATAGATGGAAGATCTTTCTCTCTCTCTTTCCTTCTTTCTATAAATTTCGCTTTTAAATAATAAATTAATCTTTAAAAGACAAACATTGAAATTACATAAAAATGAAATCTTGTTTTTTTTTCTACAAAAACTATCACACTAGGTGATATCACATATTCAGATTTTTAATGAATTCCAAGTTCTTAAGGAATAAGAGGAAGAGACTCTTCATGTTTTGGACATTAGGTAGCATGCATTTTTAAGCTGAATGTCATTTATGTGGCTTTTTAAAAAATTCTATTTTTTATACTGATTACTTGGTTGATCGTAGTGGGAAGGATCAAGGTTTAGGGAAAATTTGGTGAAATAATTAATTCAAACTTGCTATTTCTTCTTGTTGCTTCTGGGAGAAGGGGAGAGACAAAGGGGGAAGCCACACATGACTTTCCAAACTTTCCCAGTGTATTTATGAGGCTTTTTAAAAGATAGATTTTTTTTTTTAATAAAAGAAAGAAATCTCCTAATACTGCTAATCTTTCCCAAACACTCCCAAGAGCAGTGATTGGGCCAGATTGAAACTGGGACCTTACAACCACCCAGGTCTCCCATGTGTGTGGCACCACCTCAACAGAGCCTGCACAGACAGGAAGCTGGAGTCAAGGGCCAAAGCCAGGAATCAAACCCAAGCACTTTGATGTGGGACTAGGGGTCTTAACCACTAATGGTAAACACCCACTCTCTCTTGTGGCTTTTTATGGTTTATTTAAAAGGTACTTCAGACACAGCCTATGGCAGTAATTACACATATTTGGGTAAACTAATCCCTTTTCTTATAAACACCAACCTCTCATAATCATTAGTTTCCTCTTTATCTCTTCTTTCATCCCAGCCGGCAATATTTACTATGAATTTAAATGAAACAAAGTTGATCACACAACTCGAAGAGAATAGGGCCATGAATTCTCCTGCTTTTGTAAGATGTTTGGTCCTAGAATATTCTCTGGCTTTGCATTTTGGACAGAAATGAGTTATGCTGATATCACTGATAAAATATTCCCCCATGTGAGTTCTCCTTTACCCCATTCCAAGCTTTTCCCTCAAATCAGAAACTTGATAGATGGCCACTAAAAACATTACAGAAGAATTACTTTACTTTCAGTAAAAAGCCTTTTATATTCTCAACTTGCAGGCCTCTTCCAGCTCAAGCCTCTGTGTCTTTGGGGCTTAAGAAACCTACCAGGGGACCCAGTGCTACGGCCTAGCGGCTAAAGTCCTTGCCTTCAATGTGCCAGGATCCCATATGGGTGCCGGTTCTATTCCCAGAAGCTCCGCTTCCCATCCAGCTCCCTGCTTGTGGCCTGGGAAAACAGTGGAGGAGGGCCCAAAGCCTTGGTACCCTGCACCCACATGGGAGACCTGGAAGAAGTTTCTGGATCCTGGCTTCGGATCGGCATGGCATCGGCCGTTGTGGTCACTTGGGGAATGAATCATCGGACGGAAGATCTTCCTCTCTGTCTCTCCTCCTCTCTGTGTATCTGACTTTGCAATAAAAATAAGATAAATCTTAAAAAAAAACAGATCCTATAGGGAACACGGTTTGGAGATGCTGACTTTAAATGTGTTCAGAGTGACTTTGATTTCGTTTCATTTCTTCACTTTAAGGCAATGTAGGACATCCACTAATTTATTGAGCACTCACTGTACTAGGTATTATTTTAGGCATGCAAAGAATAAGACAGCAGTGAACAAAACAGGTCAAAAACAATAGGTAATAAACTCATGATCTTCTAGAGAAAGGAAAATGTTTGTATAAAAGTCTGTATACTAATTGCGAAAAATTCCCTTTGAGAGACAGAAAGATGCCACCCATTCAGTGATTTGTTCCCCAAATGCCCAGCAGATAGGACATAACATGGGTCTCCCATGTGGCTCAGCCTTAGGTCAGCCATCACTTGCTGTGTCCCAGGCGTCTCCTCAGTAGGGAACAGGTAGTAGGAGTAGAAACGGGGACTAAGCCCAGGCACTCCCAATACAAAATAAGGGCATACTAACCACTGTACAACATCTGCTCCACACAACAGTATTCTTAGAAACTGGACACAACCCTAATATCCTTCAATAGTTATTTCGTAAGCTGCTCTACAGTTACAGAAAAGAAATTTGCTTCGCAATGAAAAGGAATGAAGTTCTGATGAGTCAGAAACTTGGGTGAAACTCAAGAGATTGGGAAAAGTCATTTTCAAAGGATTATAAACTTCATAACTCTATTGTGAAAAAATAAAAACTATAAATGAAGAACAGACTGGTTGGTTTCTAGAGGTCAGACACCAAGGAGGGAGTGACTGTAAAGTGAGCATGCCAGAGTGATTCAGAGTTAACAATCCAGTGCCCTGATTGTGATGCAGTTACAAAAAGGGATTCATGTGTTTAAAAACAAAATCCATGGAACAGTATGCATAGCCAGTAAAGCTATTGCCTGTATGCCAGGACTCCATGGGGACACTGGCTCACGTCCTGGCTGCTCTATTTCTGGTCCACACTCTGCAAATGGCCTTGGAAACGCAGCAGAAGATGGCCTTATGGTCTGGGCCCTTGCTACTCAGGTGGGAGAACTGGAATAAGCTACCAGCACCTGGATTCAGCCTGGTCCGGTCCGAGGCACTGCAGCCATCTGGGGAATAAACCAGCGGACAGAACAGCTTTGTCTCTCCTTTCTCTGAAACTCTGACTTCAGATAAATAAGTAAATCTTTTTTTTTTTTCCTA